TTAATAATAATTTGACAAAAAAAAAAAAAATGGCCGGAACTCGCAAACCCTCTGTATTTGGCGCGGGGCAAACGCTTTGAGGACGCATGATAAGGATCCACAGAGTGGCAATGAAGACCACACGCATCGTGTTCATCATCTTATATGTATGTCTAAAAAAAAAAGACGATTTAATTTACTTGTATGTGTCTTAAATTCCAAGCTCTTTATATAGAGAAAAATACACTTGAGCTAGCAAAAAAAAAAATGTCAAAATTGGTGTGTTTGGATTGATCATGACCCAAATCTTTATTGCTACTGTGTGCTAGCATGCGCAATCTATGCCTTTATTCTAATTTATTTTACAATAAATTAACTCCTATTTAATAGATCAACTTTGATTTCTAGCTAGTTTTATCTAGTCAATGCCTAGTTCTAATTTTACGTATATATAGTTCTTTTTTTTTTTTTTTCCCTTTGAAATAGGCTTTTAGATCTTAGAGAATTAATTTTACGTCAATATGTCTCATTTGTTTATCATATTTTAAAGTTGGGCATAACTTAAGTTTCTTCCGCCACATTCATTACTTTTTAGACTTAGTTAGGGTGTGATGGGAGTGAATTCAATTCGTAATCATAATTAATTTTGAATAAAATATGGTATGATTAAGTAGTTAGTGAGAATTTAAGTTTAAAATAAAATAATTAAAGTTATTTTGATGTAAAAGTAGGATAAAAATTATTGGAAGTGATGGTTAATTAAAAAATCTCGATTGGATAAAAACTTATCGTGGAATCGACCCGTACTAATCGCTATTACTAGTTAATGGTGATTAGTCCAAAAAAATAAAAATTCTAATTTGTCGCGCGGTAAAAAAACAAATGAGTTAACCATATAAATTTATTTAAAATTGGCATCTATAGATAAAATTATTTGTTATAAAATATTTATATAAAATCAAGATCGACAAAAAACAATTATTAATTTGTTATACTAATGGATAACAAAAGAAAATGTTATCAATTTTGTTTCAAAAAAAAAAAAAAAAAATTGACCACCCAATTCGAAATAAAATAAATTATGACTAAGTGTTAAGTAGTATTTTTGGGCATGTGGTAACCTAGTTACCCGACTCGGGTCGTTCTCAAAGGAAAGCTCTTCGGAGCTCCGTTCACTATCTAGTCGCCAAATCACACAACCGAAAAGGTCCTAAACATTCTACTCGCAATTTGGGGGTTTGAATTAAAGCTAGACTAATCTACGAAATTGAAGGCAATTAAAACCAATTAACAGGGCAAGAGAAAACACGCAAGAAGATGAGAGAAATCAAGGGGGAAAGAGAGATTTTGGTTCGCCGGAGTCTCTATGATCAATACACACAAATAACCGAACATTATCATGCTAGCTAAAACCCTAGG